ATTGACGTGCCCGCCCATTGAATTATCGCGAACAGTTCCTATAAGAAAAGTGAGATTTGCTTCGATAGCAAGGGCAAGTAATAGTTCATCATCACGCACGCACGCTCCGGTGGCCGAATCCCGGACCGTGCATGCGTGGTGAAAGTATCCGAATCGAGGTTCCAGGCCCCGGTAGGATAAGAGCATCTGCTTGTACATCGCTTGGTTACCGCAGTTATTGTATAGGCCACATGCGCATCGAAAACGATTTTGAATAGAAGTTGAACAGGGCTCATCCCCAAAAAACAGATTTATTAACGCTTGTATAGCCCCTCCTTTCTGATCTCGGCTGAGCATCTCACTGCAGCCCACTCCTTACGTTCTGCCTCACAGTCTTCACTGCCTGATCTCCTCCCTACTGACAAAATAAATCCTTACTCATTCGGCACTGGTATACAGCACTTGTGTTGTACGAGATGTCGTCGATAATAGCCGCACCGCCTTGTTTACCGAAAGCATCCAGAGTAAAGTTATACGCTTCGATCACTATCTGAATATCGAGTACAATAATTTTAAATGCCAATTCCTTCAACTGCGATATAGCTAGCTTAGGGTATAGTTCTGTAAAGTGGTTAGTTAGTCACTAAACTGGGCCAGATACACAATCCATGTCATGAAATTGGTTGTTGAAGTACCGGATCTCATCTCAAAGACCTGTAAATCTCAGCAGTGGTATCTATCTATCGACCGCTCACCCGATTGGGGAAGGACCTTCTGATTAATTAAGGCAACATACGACCGATTTTGGACGTTGGAACCACTGGATCCCTAGGGAGTTCTTGCCAAAATTCCGCAATGGTCTAGCTTTTTCTTCAATGTTCTGGAAAATATCATGAATGTAAGGACACTACCAATCTGTATACGTATAATCATACTTCTTTTTAATTGCTTACGTAACCCTTTCCTTGTTAAACTACCTCTCATACCGGACGCATACATCTTTCCGAACCCAAATTGAGCTACTCCCCTGTTGAAAGCTACTAAAACCTGGGATGTGGTGCAGTAAGAGCGAAATTGTCGCGTCGCGGCGGGAAGACGCCGTGCGCGAACGAATGTAGCAGAATCCAGCAGCGAGTAGGATATACAGGAACAATAGATTTAGTAGTAGAATCATGCCAAAGTAATAAGCACAGAGCGATTATGCTGTATGAAGAACGTTAGAGCTGTTATGACTAGGCAAATGCTCCGCGACAGCCGCGTGCGGCGGATCGATTACCCAAAACGGTTCTTTCTGCTCGTCTCCCCTAAAACCTGCGTCAATGGGTTTGGCCTCAAAGCTCCTGAGCTATTCCTGCACGCTTCGTCCCAACGTTTTTAAGTCGGAAACAAGGTGTCGAAGATGAGCTTAGGCCTATACAACTAACAAGGATAAGCTCAAAGTCGGATATGATATGGCGTATACTGGTGAGCGGAACCCTTTCAAGGCATTTCTTTGAGATTTTCAAGATTATTTCATCAAATATCTAGAATTTGTGAAATTTTTGGCGGATACTTTTCGAACAGACCAATGCTTGCGATGAAGGATTAGATGAGACCCCAGCAAACGGGGAAAGAACGAACGGCTTGGCTGCTGCAAACCTTTACAAGGGGGACTGTTGAGAGACGGGCGCTAGGAAAGGTTTTGGGTAATCGATTCGCCGCACGCGGCTGTCGCGGACCACTCATTTGCCGTTATTACAGCTCTAGCGTTCTTCATACAGCTCAATCGATATGCAATCATTGTTTTATGCATAATTCTACTATTAGTACTTTTGCTCTTGTATTTCTTACCTACTGCTGCATCCTGCTACATTCCTTCGCGCGCGACGCCCCCCTCACCGCGACGCGACCATTTCGCTCCTAATGCACCACACCCGAAAATGTTGAATACTCTCTTTGCTCGTGTTCTTTACCATTTTTCCTTGCTTAAAACTAATTTTTTATCACATTCTTTTACTTCCGCAAAATGTGGGGCTTTTTTAAGTACTCAATAGGTTTTAGAAGAAATATAGGTGATCTTGAACGTCACAGAAAATTGCAGATTACATGAACCATTCCTGATTACCTAGATACTTTCTGTATTTGAAAGGGCTCCTAGGGCCTCTTCCTTGCTCAGCACATGTAGCAGATGTTATTATAAAGTAGTATTACCTCAAAAGCGTACCAAATTGTCCCTGGAATCACAACTTTTGCCATTTTCGTTCCATTCCTTTTCAGTGGTTCACTACACCAGTGGTATCGTTTGCCCATCGACGGCGACCTTCCAAGAATCTATTGACAACTCACACCTTCACAAAGCTTATTATCCTACCTTCCAAATTTCGACGCCAATTGTCTATATTTTATCGGAAGATTGATTTAATTTTCTGTCCGGAAACACATACCCAATAGACTAATTTGTCTTGGTA